TTTGAATAGCCTGGAAGAAGCTTAATACGGAAGAAAAGCTGCCTTTTGGATCAAGATTATTTATAGCTACTCCCCCAAAAAGTAAACGAAAATTTTAACTTTCTTACAAGTTCTAAGACTTAACTTATTTCCCCCATCTCTGAAGATGTGTGCCGTGCCTTGACCACAGAGCCTGTGTGCTTTCAGTTTTCGGGAGCACGGTTTATTTATAAAGGGGATGGAGTGTCGAGAGCCACCCTTCCGTGGATTACAGTTAACCAGAGCGCTGCCGAAATTAGCCGTCCATGTGCTAGAATGCCTGCTGTTTTGGAAGTTTAATCTGGATATTTCACAAGCGAAGCTGGATTTAAAAGGGAAATGGGTTGACAGAGGAATGTTCTGAGTGCTTGAGCCACTGTTCCCCTGTGTGTGTGTATCTTGTTCTCTTCCATGTTTGGGGAGTTTGTGAAAGGGAACTTTGGGGCATTGAGGGAGGCGAGGAAGGAGATTTCTGTTCTCTGTTCTTGTTGCACTTTACTTGTTTTAGAATCACTCTAAAGTAACAACCAGGTAAAAGAATACGTAGTTGCATTTATACTGACGCACTGATGTTGACCTCAACACCTCATAGATTATGACGGATATTATATGAACACGTGTCTTTATGCTAAGGACACTTTGTAGCTCAGTTCAGAAGTACTTTCTTTTCAAATGCTTTTTTCTTCTTTCTGGGGTCGAGAGCATCAACTTTTCTTTGAACTCTCTTCAAAATGGGGAAGCCACTCAGCAGACCAGACTGTTTACGTCAGAACCCCCCCTGTGTAGGGAAGGGCGAGGAGGAGGAGGACCTGAATATCGAGGACTGCTATGTGCCTCAGAGGTCCATCTATGATACTGTTCGTCTAAATGAGCAGATAGACTCGGGCTCCAAAGGGAGCCTGTCTTCCAGGCATTTCTCAGATCGGACTTTGCCCTATAGTCACAGAACACTGGATGTTAGTTCTCTCTGCTCCAACGGCGCCCTGACTTCTTCCAGTGCGTTTGAGCTGAGAGGTCGTGAAGCCAACAAATTAGACGAAAAGATGATCTTCGATGCCCTCAAACTAAACAGTGATATCATTCGAACCGCAGGATTACCCAAAGCCAAATCTCACGCAGAAAAGAAAGAGCATAGGCGTTCGTGGCGAATGTTTGTGCCAGCCAATTTTATGGATTATGCAAACAAAAGTGAAAGCTCGTTTGTTGAGCCTCCTGATGTGGCAGATGCTGTTACCACGGCCACCAAGTACAGATGGGGGACTAACTCCCTGACTTCCGAGGAGGACGACTCTGGCTTGTGCAGCCCTCCAGCAGAGAGGGAAGACAAAGAGGGCATGTTAGCTGGAGACCGGTCACGGATTAGAAGCTTGTCTTCTGCTGAAGATCTTCATGTAGCAGAACAAGATAGACCCTTTTTTCCGGTTAATTCCGGAAATTGTGAACAGAAAATCCCATTGCTTTCACGTAAGAGTGCCCATCCTGATGGAAACTTCAAAATGCTTGTACCCAGTGTTGCTCCACTGGAGGAAGCCAAACGTGTACATGGTCAAAGTGAACCCCCTGGCGGCAGTGGCTGCCTGCAGGATGATTGGAAAGAGGGGCCCGCAGAGCGGGATCCATTAGGGGAGCCAAGAGATGGGGGAAATGAACATGTTTGGGGGCTTGGAAAAGAGAAGTCACATGGGCCAGGAGAACCCCACGTTATAGCACAAAACCGGGAACCTGTGGACTTAGAGCTCTCTCACACAGGTCTGAGAGAGAGAGATGGAGGTGGTGGTAGCACCCATTTAATAGAAAGTATGGCACTGTTGTCACTGCGTGATGCTGGAGAGTCCAACACAGCGCCTAAAGAGGAGGCGGAGGCTCCACTTTCTGCCCAGGATGTGGAGGTGATCCATCTGACATGCTCTCCGAAATTCATTCCCGTGAGAAGGAAGGCATCTCCCAGAAAAAGAAGAGCCCAGGCAGAAATACTGGACACAGTCTGCAATGGCTTTCAGGCAGTTCAGGTAATTAATGGAACTGGGCAAGTCTGCCGTGCCAGACGTTTGTGGTTCTGTCAGCAAAGTGGCCTCCAGTGTGTCGTACAATGATCGAATTCACGCTCACATTTCGGGGTGGGGGAGGGTAGGTTGGTGACGCGATGCGTACTCTGGGAGATGCCAGGTATTGATAAGTTGGTCATTATAGTAAACTGATTAGGGGCCATTTCTTGAGAAGATTGATTATTCCCACTTGTTGAGGGGGCTTACTGTTGCTTGTGCAGAAGGTAACCGTTCCCCCTTATTTAAAATGCCCCCGCTGTGAATGTATGGGTACATAGGGCTTTTCTACAACTTGTGGATTAAGACACTGCCATTTGAGAGTAGTTCTATTGGATTTAATAGGCTTGATGGAGACTTATTCATGAAGGTACCAACACAGTGCTGTAATGCTGTGGTTGGCGAAAGACTGCAGCCCAAATTGAGGACTGTCTAACTGTGCTGACAACGTCTCTTGCACGTTCTTCCTGTGGAGGTCGGGAAGTTGCTGGGCAGAATTGTGCAGCCATTGTAGCTGCTAACTTTTTGTGAGTGGTGAATGAGGTAAGAGGCGAAAGGGGGCGACCTTGTAATAAGTAGAGGGTGGTGGTTAAGCCTGTAATTTTTTTGTGCCCACTCAGATTGAAGTTCAGCTATTTTGTTGCTTATACTAAACTCTTCTGGTAAACTTTGCCTCAGAGGCAATTTCACTTTATTTTAAGCTTCTCTTTATGTGCGTGTGGGTTACATTAGGGGCAAGAAATCACTCTTTGGAGGCATTTTGCTACAGCTGAGAGAGAAGGAATTTGAACACTATTAGAGAAGTTTTTCTTCTTAGTGTGTGAAATAATTGCTCTAGTCAACGGTGGCCTTTCCTCGAGTGTGCATTAACGAGCCTCATTAACAAAGTACATTTTCTCTAAAGGATTTTGCAGTCTATTTTTAGAAAGTAACGTAACCCTTAGGAGAATATGGACTCCTTAATAGTCATCGTTTTTAATCCTCAGTGTATTTTGTGGTAGCACTTCAGAAAATTACAAGTTTCACCTGCTCCAGTATGCAACCTGAAAATTGATGTCTTGGAAACCCAAACCAGGCAATCTATGAGGATATTGGATTAGTTTTTTGTTGTTTTTTTTAATATGAAAACTATGTGAGGAAATTAAAAATTTACTTACCCTGAATCTTTTTATATCACACAATATCCTGGAATTGAGAATTTACCAGTTTTAGACAGACATGCACAGACACCCTTTTGAACAATTTTGTGGTAAGTAGTAAACATAACCACAAATAGAAGTAGTAACTTAGAAGGTAGGATAGAGAAGAAATGGGATCAAATTCCATCTTCACCACCTTACAGCACCTGTCTGCTGATTTTTTTTAAAGTAAATTTTAAAAAATTAATGATACATGTATAAAGTCCTTTCTGATGACTATTCATTGATTTAGGGAATGCTTGTGACTTAGGTGCTTATGTGTAACTGATGTCCACGTATTTAGTTTTGTTTTGCAGAAACAATTAGCCAGAATGGATGTTATCCTGGTGGATTATCTGTGGAAGGAGCAGCTTGAGTTAGGAAGGGACTTTCAGAGGAAATGATCCTTTATTTGTTTGCCGTGGCTTTGTTCATTCATTCATTTGATAACAGGAGCTTCCTGCATGTTAAGACTTTGAGCCAGACAGAGTCTGTATGGTTTGTCTCCTGCAGCCTCGACACCCTTCAGAATCCGTGTCCCATCGTGTGCCTGTAACTTTTGCCTAGGTGCTGTTTGCATGTCTGCTTTCACTATGTTCTCACATAGGCCATTGAACCATTGACCTGGACGGTGGGTATATTAATAGAGGGCCTGGGTCGGAGGACTCAGAACTACATGCTTATCTTATTACCTATCTGAAGCTCTGCTTCTTTGGCCAAACTAATTGATTTTCTTCGTGGAATCTTTCAGTCCTATATTAAAACCATTTGGCTCATCTCTTTAGGAGTCAATAGCATCTACCCCCAGTATTATCTGAGAGGTTGACGTCATATATCCCAAGATATAAATCCACTGTTCTATACTGATATTCATTCATTCAGCACATACTTATTGGATACCCATGTTACAAGCCAGGTACTGTTTTACAGCATAGGACTACTCTAGGAAAATCTGTTGGAAATCCCTGCTTTTATAAACATACAATTTAATCTAATAGACTGTATCCTTTGCAGAGCAGATAGGAATAGGTGGAGAGTGGGGGAGAAATGGTTTTGAATTTTCCCTGGCAATATAGACATAGGCCACAATGACCAAAGAATAACCGAAGGTTGACAGCTGGCAGTGGCAGTGATCTGGTCTATGGAGCGAGGTCTACTCGCTCTTAACCCATGGGCATCTTGGCTGGCATGGACAGGTCTAAAGGTGCAGGTACTATACTCTGAAAGTGCACGTCCATATCTTATTTCCTCCCAGCAGCCCCGTTTTCTGGTCTACACCACATATTTGGCCTCTTGCCTCCATGCCTCAGTGATTCTACATTTCCAATTGGAACCTCAAACTTCCATAGTCAACAAGCTGCAGTCATCCTTACTAAAAGCTGTAAGGATTCCTTGCCCAGTAAGATGCATCTTGGGTCCATCCTTCCATTTTTCATTGGTTGGTTTACCAGTTCTCACATATCTTCTGGAAGAATTAAATTGGGACAACAGAGGGGGGATTTCCAGTGTTGTGACAATGTGACAATACACTTAGAATTAAGTGTATTGAGAATGTCTCTTTTGACTCCCTGTGACCTGTTGTGATCATACTATGGGTTTGGATTTTGTCTACTCATGTGGAGGCTGCTTCTCATGAGTAGGGAACAAAAGTGTCTTCTGCCATAATTGATGGTTTTCAATACCTGATGACTGAAATGTTTATTTCATATCTGATGGTGGTTTGAAACTATAATTCACATAATGATTGTTGTTCTCACTGCAGGTATTCCAGAAAGAAGAGATTGAACCCTTGCAGGCTAAGCAGCAAGATGTAAACTGGTTAGGCCAGGGCCTTATTCAGAGTGCTGCAAAAAGCACCAGCACTCAGGGTTTGGAGCATGACCTCGATGAGGCCAACACCCGGTGGAAGACTCTTAACAAGAAGGTAATTTCCTCATACACTTCTTGCCATTATTCACCAGTTGTTTTTCCCTGGCATTTTTGTGGTCAATGATTTTATTTATGCTGGGTGAACTTCTCTAGACAGATGTACTTTTTTAATTTTTTTGAGGAGGTTTACAAACTGGAGGTCCCAAACTCAGATGCCAATAGGAGCTAGACAGAGAGCGCTAATGAGGGAAGTGCACTGGGAGAAACAGGTTGCTTCATGACTCTAATAGAGGCAGGGTGGTGGCGGGTGGCCTAGTAGCCAGGGCCTGTGCCGAGACAGCACACACATCTCCAGGCATTCAGTAGCTGCTTTGTTCTAGCAAAGCCATTGCTGTGGAGGAATACAGGCCCACTCTTGGCAACATAGTCTACTTACTTTTAAGAGTAAAGTACCTGAAAATCTCACCTTCTTGGTGAAAACGTTAAATTTGTAAGTGCTTACAACTAATTTCGCGCTGTGTAATAGAACAGTCCAAGTCAGAGATCCTGTCAGCCCTGTGTAACCCTCTCGTATAGCCTCTTAATGCCAAATGCTATTTTTCCTTTTAGGAAGCAGATTTTACCTATCCCCGAATTTCTGGGAGAGAGCATGCTGGAACAAACCCTCTGCTAGCTTAAGGAAATAATGCTGAGGCACAATGGCAGTGTTTCACATGACGTGTCCATAACCAGAATATTGTTAGGAGATGGAACACTGACCTGGTGATGTTTCCCCACCAAGTTTAGAGCCCTAAGCAGTCTCCAAGTCTTAAAACTACCTTCATCATTCTTTGAAATCTGTTTCATATTATTGTGCTCTTTAAACACAATTAGAATGCAGTGTCAGGTGTAAATATATTCCACAGTACTTAAAATATCTTGCCAACTATTTTTTTTTAAGTCTGAAAGGGAACGTTCTATGAGAAGGGCAATAGGATATCTCCGTGTGGGACACAGAGACTCCATTTATTAGCAGACAAAGGTCCTGGTTTGTTGGAAAAGGACTCGAGAGCTTGTAGCTCACACAGTTTAATTTGGGTACTTTGTAGTTATTTTGACTCCTAAAAGGTAATTCTGATTCTCTCTACTGCAGGTAGATTAAGAAAAAAAACTAACAACAAAAACAAGCAAACTGTAGTCTTCCAATAATTTCTTAAAACCTCGTGAAAAGGGTGGTCTAAGAGAGAGGGGCAGGGAAGTGTTTCTGATATGTTTAAATACCAGGGATACTAATAAAACTGACTAACGTATTGTGTTTTTCAGCAATCTGAAAAATGTAATCCTTCATAGCTAATCATGAATTTACCAAGCATTTCCCAACTCTCAAGGATTCCATCATGTACATATGGGGGGCCTTCAACAACTTCATGGAAAAACTTCATTATTCCCTAATTCCATTATTTTTTTCCCCCACGAACTTGTTGAGGTTCCCTTAGAGTCTCGGCTGGTAAATAACGGCATAGATTATAGTCTGATTCCCTGTCAACTTTGCTTCTCTGATAGCAATGCTTGGGGTAAATTTTAAATAAAAAAGAAGAAGAAAAATTGTAACCGAGTGAAAAAGGGCAGCCAGTGGGCAGATTTCCATATTTTATGAAACAATGAAGTCTGGTGTAACAAGGGCAACCTTGCAGGTGGCCCAGCGAGCGGCCCAGCTGCAGGAGGCCCTGCTGCACTGTGGGAGGTTCCAGGATGCCCTGGAGTCCCTGCTCAGCTGGATGGCAGACACCGAGGAGCTGGTGGCCAATCAGAAACCCCCATCAGCCGAGTTCAAAGTGGTGAAGGCCCAGATACAAGAGCAAAAGGTAATGATGCTTGTGCTGCGTTTCATACTCCATTTTCATACTGGGAGGAGTAAGTACTTTTCACCTGATGATTCTGTTTACATGAGTGGGATAGCCGGCTAACTGGCTGTCCACACCCTAGGCAGTATTCTGTTAATCATTCAACAACTATTTATTGGGTTGATACCATGGGTCATACCCTGTTCCAGGTGCTGGGAATTTAAAGATAAAAGTTTAAAGCCTAGTGAAAAGGGAGGTACGGGTGGTGCGAGAGAGGAAGGGTCATGAGGTGTCGTAAACAAGATAATCAGAGCAAGCCTCCCTGAGAGGGTATATTTGGACATTGTCTTATTGCAAACGTGTTAGGTGGATCCCCATGAGATTTAGTGAGATATGGACGTTTCTTATGTTCAAACTAAACTGAAGTGACAAACTGATCCATCTAAACGGAGGGATATACTGCTGTGTTCTTTGACACTGGTAAAAAGGGTCACATGTTGGGAAGATACACTCTAAAGCACATTCTCAACATTCCTAATGCCACGGCCCTTTAATACGTACAGTTGCTCATGTTGTGGTGACCCCCAACCATAAAATTATTTTCATTGCTACTTCATAACTGTCATTTCGCTACTGTTGTGAATCGGGTGACCCCTGTGAAAGGTCATTTGCCCTTTCAGGGGTTGCGGCCCACAGGTTGCGAACTGCTGCTTTAGAGGGATGGTCACATGGTTTTTTTGGCTGCTGTCCTGATGGTGGTCGGTTATGAAGTTTTCAACTGACATTACCCATTACAAAACCCCAAATCCAACCTCACTGCCATCAAGCCGGATTCCCGATTTATAGTGACCCTCTAGCAGAGGGTAGAACGGCCCCTGTGGGTGTTGAGCCCTACTCTATGGGAGTAGAGATCCTCCGCTCTCTTCTGAGGAACAGCTGGCTGGTGATTTCAAACTGCCGACCTTGTGATTAGCAGCCCACCAAGTACCACTACCCCACCAGGGCTCCCTGCCACTACCCATCCTGACTGTCAGCCGCGTCTTGACATGACACAGGGAAGGATCCTTGCCAACCACAGAGAGGAGTGGTAAAGTTGTTTCTGTTGTGTGAGAACTTTTAAAAAGAAGGCGTTCTTTCAGACTTGATGGACTCTGATTAGCCAACAAAACCTATTTGTTGATTTTGCTCTCTTTATTTCTTGAGGCTTTGCTATCAAAGTTAATCAGACAGAGATCCACTGAATCACTTCTCTGCTGCATAAACCACCTGTTCTACTCTGATTACGTAATGACCCCTACCTTTGTCAAGAGCGTTGGTTCTGCTTGCCTTTTGCTTTGGGCATTTTTAATTTCAAAGTGAAAGTGAGAGTATACTCATAGTTTGGTATGATAGGTAATTGTCTTCTAGCTGTCAGTCAGGACCAGATTGAGGAAGTGCCTAAGTATTTAGTGTCTTCTACCCACACGTCTTCTTTTTAAAGTTCTCACCCAGGAGAAATAACTAGAGCACTGTGTTGCCCATTAGACTTCTTTCTGTGTACAGTACTTGCTCTTGAAATACTTGTTTTAATTAGGTTCAGGCATGGTAATCCTGAGTTCTGTCTGTGCCTATAAAATAGTCCACTCTAGGCTTCTTGAAATGATTAATTAAAATTAAATTGAATTTTGTTCCTACTGCTAAGTCTTGAAATGTTAGTCTTATTTAGCCAGTATTGGCTAATTCTGAGTGGCACACCCTCTGTTGCTTTTGGAAATGATATTCCAAGACTCATTTTTGTTTGTTTTCATCCTCATAAACTCAAAGGGTTTTTAGGAGCCAGGAGACAGAAGCTCTGGCCACTCATTGTAGCCTCACCAGCTTTACCAAACTGGGCAAATTGCATACCCTCTCAAAGTATCAACTTGCTTGTGTGTAAGAGCAGTAGATTATTCACAGTGAGAAAAGGCTTTAAAGACAATACTCAATGCCACTGAGTTCATTCCCACTCAATAGCAACCCTGTGGGACAGAGCGATACTGCCCCTGTGGGCTACAAAGCTGTACAGGAGTAGAAAGCCTCATCTTTCTTCCCAGAAGAGGCTGGTGGTCTTGAACTGCTGCACTTGTGGTAAGCAGACCAGTGCATGACCCTCTGGGCCAAAAGGGTTCATAATAGTCATTTTTCTCTCAATAGGATCGATGATTTTTGAGTGGGTAAAGCATTTCCATCACATTATAATAGTGGAGATTGGGTACCTGAAGCCAGGGGAGTTCCTTCTATCCTGTTTTTTCACCTTCAGAAATGAATAATGAAGAGACCAGTGGTCTTAACAATCTTTGTTTTGTTTACCATGGAAAGTCCCTACCACAGTGTCCACATAATGCAATGAACTTGAATTCATTAAATAAATGAGACACATATTTTAAAATTCCAATTCTCAGACACTTTCATACGTATAACTATGCACAAGACACATTTGCTTGGCGGGAGGGGTGTGTGCGAGAGGAGTCAGACATCGAAAGTCCTTAGAACATCATGTTTGTTAACTTTGAGGCAATCATATCCTTGCCTTGATTGGTATTCAATGTTTTGTCCCCAGCTTCTCCAAAGACTCTTGGATGACCGCAAATCTACCGTGGAGGTCATCAAACGCGAAGGAGAGAAAATCGCCACAACAGCAGAACCCACCGACCAAGTGAAGATTTTGAAACAGCTGAGCCTCTTGGATAGTAGATGGGAAGCCCTGCTTAACAAAGCAGAAACCAGGTGACTGGAATGCTTCCTGTTCTTTTTAAAGAGTAGCAGTGACCTTGCAGCTGATTTTGTATTTTGTAAACACATCACATCCAATGATTTTCCTGTGTTTGTCATGTCCATGAACAGAGGTGGCCAGGGCTGTGGTGGTTCTCTCCTATTACTCTGATGGTCATGGCCTTTAGTCACCAGATGTGTCCCAAGTCTGTGTCTTGAGAAACCCATGCGCCTTGGAGACAATACAGGCGTTGGCTTAGTACATAATGACGGCCGGCCCACTGAGCACCAGGCACAGAGCTAGGTGTTGGGTTATGCAGGGCGGCGGAGGCTGACCTGAACAATCTATCCCTGCCCTGAGTTTGGTACAGTGTAGTGGGGTTCATAGTCACTGAATAGCAGTGAGACATGGGATGAGTGCTTCCTGGCAAAAGAACACGGTGTTAGGAAGGACCACTTCTTGGTTCAGGGAAATTATAGTTAATCAGGAGTTAGCTAGGAAATGAGGCAGGTGGAAGGGCCCTCAATTTTATGAAAGGTAGGAAGCTGGGTGCATGACTCCAGTGGAATTTTGCTCACAGCATTATTTCTATTACAATAGTTTGACCAATATGTTCTGCACTGGCACCACAGTGACCAGTCTTCAGTAGTCGCTGGGAAGTATAGTCACACCAACTGGTTGGGTTAGAGACAGATGAGCCTCTGAGCAGAATGGTCGTGTTCCATAAATCCCAACCTGTTTTGGAACAGGAGTGGTAAAGCGAAGGGTTTGTGAAATCTTGAAACATGGAGTAAAGGTAGCTCTGACTTTAGCACCACAGACGAAGGTGCTTGTAGAAAGCTAAACGTCTCATGTGGTCCTACAGTACATGCTAACAGATCAGTAGTTCTTCTGTGCATTTGCTCTTGGGATACATGCATCTAAATGAGCAAGGCACATCTACATGTCTTTGCCATGCTAACGTCACAGGGTTTCCTTTTCTAGATTGTTTTCATGGTGGTATTTATTAATGGATGGTTGTAGGACACATGGTTTTACATGCAAATGTATTACAATTTAAATACTAATAGACCATATGATTCACAAAATCATTATTTCTACTGACTAGATGATTGAATATTTTAATTTCAAAGAAAAAGATTCATAGATAGTGATGGCCCAGAAGTTAAAAACAGTATAATCTTTTTGTAAAGTATTTAACCCAAGAGTTATTTGTCTTAAAAATTTGTACATATGTGTATTTATAGCATATAATTGTACAGAAATTACATTCAGCAGCATGTACCGATTTTCAGTAATTCCCTTTTCCCCTCTGGAAATGAATTTGTCAAATCCTGTCATTCTCTAAAAATTAAAGTTGATGAGACATTATGGCAAAAACAACTCTTGGTCCCAGTAAGGATAATATACAGAATTTAGTAACGAATCAGGTACCCCATATACAGAGCAGCAAAGTCACTTGCCCCAGAAACAAACAAACAAACAAACAAGGAAACTGGGTGTTTTCTGAAACTGCTTCAAACTACATTAGAAGGTAGAAGTCAAAAGAAATCTTTTCCTTTATTCAGGATACTATAATCCAGTGAAGATTGTTAAGTGTGATTACTTTTGGAAAACAGACATTGGTAAATTCACATATACTTGTATACAGTAGGAATTGTAATTCTTCTGGCAGAAAAGCTGTGCATATTATTAAACATGTGAATCCCATTTTCACCATTTGATCAAAGCAGTCAGCAACTGGTGCTCTGATTGAATTTGGATAAGATATAAACATTTAAAACAGAGGCAAGCCCAAAGCATATTCCCTCCTATTACCATTATTATTGTTATTAGAACAGTATTGTTGTTGTGGCTTTTATTACCACTGACAGCATTACAAGTATTGTTACTAAAGGTCGTTTTAGACGTTTATGAGAGGCCACTGAAGATGTTGTGTCCCCGTCGAATTTTCTTTAATAGAAACAGTCCTTGCCGGTGTCCTTCCTAGGTTACAGATTTAAAGTGCTACCTTTGGTGATTTCCACAAAAAGTGTTTGGAAAGCGCAGGAAGCTGAGTGGTTTTCCTCGACTCTCTCCCATCGTCTTCCTCCCTGAATGACCTCTGTCTTGGCACACCTGTAGGACTCGTCAGCTGGAAGGCATCTCAGTGGTTGCCCAGCAATTTCATGAAACCTTAGAACCGCTGAATGAATGGCTCACCACCATAGAGAAGAGACTTGCGAACTGTGAACCCATAGGAACCCAGTCTTTTAAACTTGAGGAACAAATTGCACAGCACAAAGTAAGTTACAAATCACACGTTAGTAAGAACCAGCTTTCCATTTAAATTGTGGTTTTGTGATCTATATTTGAGTTATGTACTATTGTTACGCATCAGTGCAAACTAAATTCATTTCATGTGTCATTCCTGCCTTCCATTTACGTTTTCATCTTTTTTTTATTTGTCCATTCTTTTCTGTTTTTCTGTTAACTTCATTTAGGCTTTAGAAGACGACATCAACCATCGCAGTAAACACTTGCACCAGGCAGTTAGCATTGGCCAGTCTTTAAAGGTCTTGAGCTCCAGGGAGGATAAAGATATGGTACAGAGTAAATTAGACTCTTCTCAAGTGTGGTACATTGAGATTCAAGAGAAAAGTCACAGCAGGTCTGAGCTCCTCCAGCAGGCCTTATGTAATGCTAAGATTTTTGGGGAAGATGAAGTTGAGCTGATGAACTGGCTGAATGAAGTGCACGACAAACTAAGCAAGCTGTCAGTCCAGGATTACAGCACTGAGGGGCTGTGGAAGCAGCAGTCTGAACTGCGGGTATTTTTATTTATTTTATTTTATGTTATTTTATGTTTCACTTCTGGTTCAGGTATTTTCTCCTCATTTCTGTGTTGCTTTATGTTTGTTGTGATTTAAGTGAATCTCTGTGGACCCCAAAAAGACTTTGGCTCTGTTTATAGATAATGGTCATTACAATAACTTTTACAAAGAGATTTAATCTCTCCGCTTAGCTAGTTTTCTCATTTTTCATTTTGCAGCTTTAATCTTGTATACAAATCCCCATAATTTACTAGTACTTCAATATCTCCACATAGCCCATTTGGCTCAGGCAGGTTCTCAAGAGGAGGGTGGTGTGAGCTAACATTAGCTAAACATGGGCTGAGAGGCGGGATGATGGATGGAGGTGGGGTGGAGGGGACATGGGCTGAGAGTCGGGGTGATGGACGGAGGCGGGGGGGGGGGGGGGTGGGCCCAGGGGTCGGGGGTGGGGGGGGGGGGGTGGGCCAAGAGTCAGGGTGATCGACAGAGGTGGGGGGGCATGGGATGAGAGTCGGGGTGATGGATAGAGGCATGGGGGAGTGACATGGAACAGTGGAACAGTACTAACTATTTGAAAATGTGAGGTGTTTGCTCAAATAGGCCTTGATGAAACCTAATTAAAATTTTCTACGATAAACCGATGCTAATGCTAACCAAATTTTTTTTTCCTTCCCACACAAAAATGGCGCCTCTCTTTTTAGGTTCTGCAAGAGGACATTGTACTCAGGAAACAAAATGTAGATCAGGCATTGCTGAATGGTTTAGAACTACTTAAACAAACCACAGGTGAGCTGCCTTTCAAGTTAAATAATCATGCAGTCAGCATTCTGCCCAGCTTTCGACATGGATCAGGAATTAGGGGAGAAAATGACAGTGTTCGGGCCAATCCAGGCCTTCATTCTGGCGAATGCCTTCCAGACCAAGCCAGGGGAATTGCAGCCTATGGCCTCACTTCTTCCTCATGATCTCACTTGAGTCTCAGTGGAGGAGCACTTATGTGTTGCTCGTCACACCAGGCGCGCTGGCACAGGAAGTGGTCTGAGAAGCCCGCGAGGGAGTTACGAGAGTTTTCCACTTGTTGGAGGCCGTTGTTCGAGATGAGCACATAGGTTAGAGACAGTGTGCTTTGTTTCTTGTTCTTTTAGGGTAGATTGCATTGAGCTGACACACACTGTGGCTGTAGACATGCTTCGTTTCTGGGGTTGGACTCAGTAAGAAAACAAATGTTTGGTCTAATATCTCCTTGAGGAGATCTCAGAACAACTGTTTAGTGACTCTTTAGGCCAGTTGAAAATCTCACAAGCCTATTTCCAGTTTAGCCTATCCGTGGGGAGGGGTAAATATCACTGGTCACAGGCTGGGGAAACTCACTAAAGCCCCTAGAGCTTTGATCCAGCACTCTGAAGCCCACCACACAGGCTCTGGTCGCATCTGGAAGTGAGGCCAGGGTAAGTGAGCACACACTGGAATAAGGCAGGCAGGTCTGTGATTTTTGACATCTGTTTCTCTATAGGTACATGTGCGTGTATGAAACATATGGTAGAAAAATTCCATGATCATCAATACCATTTTTCTTTTTTGAAGCTCCCTCTTACGTAACCTATGTATATGCACACAGAGATACGTGGAGACACATATACATGGACACACATGCACTGTTGTAAACGCTTAACAAATGCAAATTCACTGAGTCAGTATAATAATCATATGGCGTATCTCTATTGTTTTCTCTATGGAATGATGATACGTATGTATGTAATATGTGTGTATGTAATATGTATGTATGTATATCCCTGAGTAATAATCCCTACATAATGGATCCAAAGGTTAAATACCTTGCCCCCCCAGGTAAATCAACCTGTAAGCCACAAAATCAGTATTTGAACTCAGGTTGTTTTTAACTCCAAACTTTTAAAATGGAAAGCATCACACAGATAGACAGAGCTGAAGGTGCAGTTTCCCCACATAATTAAAGGTCCTGTGGTCCTTTCCTGTTTGGGCTTTTGTGTCTGTCAAGCTGGGTATATTTTTTGAGAAATCCTGGGGAAGATGAAAAACTTGAGAAAGTTTTCTCAGTGTACAATCATGCCTGAAGAGACTCCTCCCCCCACCTTACCGTTTTATGAGGAATAACACACCTTTGACTTGTAGGTGATGAAGTGTTAATAATTCAAGATAAGTTGGAAGCCATTAAAGCAAGGTACAAAGACATTGTCAAACTGAGCGCTGATGTGGCCACGACTCTGGAGCAGGCGCTACAGCTGGCCAGGCGACTGCACTCCACGCACACAGAGCTCTCTGCATGGCTGGACAACGTGGAGGTGGAATTACTTTCGTTTGAGACTCAGGTTCCGAAGGGCGAAGTCATGAGCCAAGCACAAGCGCAAGCCAGGCAAAAAGTATGTTCTGATTCATGCATGTGGGATCAGCTTGTTATCACTCAGGGCAGTGGTTCTCCACCTTCCTAATGCTGCAGCCCTTTCATACAGCTCCTCATGTTGTGGTGACCCCCCCCCCAACCATAAAGTTATTTTCATTGCTACTTCATCACTGTCATTTTGCTACTCTTATGAATTGGGCGACCCCTGTGAAAGGGTCATTCGACCTCCAAAGGGGTCTGGACCCACAGATTGAGAACCACTGACTTAGGGAGTCTTAGTCTCATAGGAATATAGTGGTACAACTTGTGTCAGTACTGATAGACCAAAGGATGCCTTGGTGGGTGGGGACCCAAAAGATAATTGGTATGCAGTTAGCTGCTTAAACTTTTAGGAACCCAGAGATGAAGGTAGTATATCAAAATGGAGACTAGAGAAAAATCAAAGGGGAAAAATGATTATTTCAGGGCTAGCACATACATTTGGTTGGAATACCATCTGTCTGAAAGGTAGTGTGGTGCAGCCTTTCTAATTATGTCTCAAAGACAGTGCACTGCTGTGCTGATTCTTCTTTTCAGAGCTATCGCCCTCTGGTTTTATCATCCATGAAGTATGGTCACATGTGGGTGGAAGAGAGGTCAGGCTTGATGAGCTTATGATGATTCAGCTGGAACGGTTTAAAGCCAACATGACCTTGTTTTGAGGGTCACTTAATTCTGACATGGACTTTTCTCTTTTTAAAATTTTCTGTTACCTGATTACCAGGTAGCAAACATAGTGTACTCTAACTTCCTTGGGTTTGTTTCATAAATTACTAGTAATTTATATGTTATCTTAGATAGAAGAGCTTGCCACGATAACAGACAATTATACTGAAATTCTTCTTTGGAATTTGTCAGGAAACACTTTCCATTTGCAAAATATGATTTCAGAGCCAAGGTTTCTCTAACCTAACTTCAACTATGTGGCCTGTGACTCACTCTTGGCCTACAAGGGTGCTTGCCCCCAAGAGCAATTCGGAGGAAAGCCTGCTTAAATTGTTTACCAAATGTGTGTGTGTTTTCTTATTCCCACTTTCAGGAGCTGAAGAAGGAAGTTAAGAACAACAAGGCCTTCTTGGACTCCCTTAATGAAGTAAGCAGTGCTTTACTAGAACTGGTGCCATGGAGGGCCAGAGAAGGACTGGGCAAAATGGTGGCCGAGGACAATGACCGCTACCGCCTAGTCAGTGACACCATCACGCAGAAGGTGGGGGAGATCGATGCTGCCCTTCTGAGATCACAGCAGGTAAGGACAGTGCGCTATTGTCTAGGCAGTCATGTTGCCCCACTTGCTGTCAGAGCTTTGGGGGATCAACCGGTGTCAGTGAATAGTGCTTCCAGTCGTTGTTACGCTTCAAAACGGAAGGGTGAATTGGGAAAGAATTTGACTGAGTTCCTTCTGTGTCTGAGTGCCAGCGCACAGCTAATGTGCACACTGTTAGCAGCTGTCTGTGTCACCGTTTAAGTAGATATCTTCTTAGCAGATCGGACTCTGAGGAGGCCAGCCGATCTTTATCTGTCTGTATTCATTCTTATTGCCAACATGAACTTTCTGCCGTGGCTCCCTCGGTCAAACAACCTCAGTGTGAGTAAGTACCTGGAAGTCATGTAAGTCAGGGTTGACTGCGTTGGCATGCAGCTATGGCAATGAGGGCTTGTGTTCTTTCTGAAAAGGAAATGATTTCGTTGGCAACATGGAGTTTTTGCCAGCGCCAACTTAAAGGGTAGTTTGTAATCTATCTGGGATTCATAGATGGTTTCGTGGCCAAGCACAGTGACAACGTTTAGTAACCCAACCCTGAGCCACAGTTGCTCAGAACATCCTGGACGGTGAGCAGGGTCCGAGAACTAGAAGTGTGTAGTATGTGTTTTCTTTAACTTTTACAGAAGTCTCTGTGCATGTTTGCAGTCATCACACATTTTTTTGGTGAGGGGATTAGTGTGATTACAGTGTATTTCCGAGAGGAGCTTGGAGAGTATTTGACCAAGCTTTTACTAAGACAAGCCAGGAGCCAGGAAAACCCCTCTCTCTTCACGGATTCTGTGGGACCATCCGAATGAATCTTGTAATGTTGCCCTGAAAGTATAATTTATGTAGCTTTACAACAATGTTCCGCGCCTCATGGAATCAAGAAAGCTGGTGAAATACAATGATGACATCATTCAGCCTGTTGAACACATATTTTCAGAGGAGTCTGTTCATGCCCGATGCATGTAGTTGCCTAAATGCTTACAGAGCACCACACTATTAGAAATAAGTGTGTTCATTTGTGAAGTTTTACTAGACTGCTGAAAAATACTGAATTTTCCCCCCTGAAGATTTATTTGAACATTTTAGAATTGGTGTCGAAGACTTCTTGCAAGTACAAGACAGATCTTGTGAAGTTGCCTACAGGGAGTTGGTTTAGTGAAATAAAGATAATAATAACAAGGCAAGGTCACAGGTCGAACTTGACCACAAGTAAGAATGTAGACCCTGTGAAGATAAAACCAAACGCACTGCCGCCCGTTGAGTAGATTTCTGATGCATCCTGAGCCTGTGGGACAAGGTAGAACTTGCCCCTGTGGGTTTCTGAGACTGTAACGCTGGGTCAAACTTGGATTTTTTGACGGTGACTCTTTATGGAGTAGAAATGCTTGTCGTTCTCCCACAGAGCAGTGGTAGTTTCCAACTGCTTGCCATGTGGTTAAGCAGCCCAATGCATAACCACAACAGCAACTTTCAAATCAGTTGGAGCTGTCAGATCTCACAGAGTAAAATCAAGCCCCCCAAAGAGGTGGAGTGACAGAGGCATATTTATGAAGTGAAGTCAAGAACTGAAGGTACACGATTCTGATTAGGAAGTTGCAAGCAGCTCAAGGAAGCTAGAGGTGGGATAACCTGACTTGGAAGTAGTGATTGCTTCAAAACAGGAATATGGCTATTTGGGTTGGTTACATATGTGACTGAAAGGGATTTTACGTATTTAAAACATTTTTTTGTTGTATTAATCAATCATTTACTACTCTGTGTCTTTTCTCTTTCTGAAATATGGATGTGATCTGACCTCATTGCACCTTTTAAGACACACCTTTATTTATATGCTCTTTATTTTACCTCTCCACCCCATAAGTCCCAGCCCCAGGAGCCAGGAACCTCAGGAGCCAGGGTAGCGTAGTGGTTACAGATTCAGTTTTGGTCTGCAAGTCCAGCAGTTTGAAACCACCAGCTACACTGAAGGAGAAAGGCAGCGTGGCTTTCTACTCCCATGACAGTTACAGTCTTGGGAACTCACAGGTGCAGTTCTACACTGCCCAAGAGGGTCGCTCTGGTTCGGCAGTGACTCCATGAGTGAGCGAGTGTCCATCCCAAGAAACCACCTCCCTTCTCCTCCCCCTGCACACACAAGTGACGAGATGGGAGCCATCAGCATTACTTGATAAATTAAATTTTTCTATAGTTAATTCTTTATCCACGAGTGACCAGGTTAAATGAAACTAACTTTTCAATGTTCTGTTTTTCATATAGATTGTTCTTGTGATACTTGGCATTTTGCTCTGTATTAATAGGGTTTACAGAACCTTGGTAGTGTAGTGGGCTAGGTATTGGGCTACTAACCATAAGGCCAGCAAGTCAAACCGAGCAGCTGCTCGAATCCACCAGCCACTGCCCAGAAGAAAAATGAGGCTGTGTGCTCCTGTGGAGAGGTACAGTTTCAGAGACCCTGCAGCGCATTACTACGAGTTGTAATTGGCTGGATGGCACTGGATCCTGGGTTTCTTTGTTTGTTTTATGGTGGTTTATACATAGGTCTTTCTCCTTTATAATGTCCACAGCTCATTCGTAGCTGTTCTTTGAAACGCACACAAATGCGGTTTTATGAACAATGAGGCTACTATCCGAGCGGTATATTGACTTCCAACCATTAAAATTGAAGTGAGTGTCCATGAAAAATATAGGGAATAATTAAAAATGAAGGCAGAAAAGGAGGCATACAGATGTGTTCTAATTAGCATAGTCCTTGTAGCCATCCTATATAATTTTGTTTTTAAGTTTTGATTGGATATGGTTAAATTTTCATGTTAATACTGTATTTCCAGCAATAGTTTTGAAAGGATGTGACGCTAGAGTTTGAATGCATGTGGACAAAGACAATGGCCCTATAGAAGTGTGAACGATGATTTTTATCTCTTGAGACATATCAGAAAAGTGTCCGTCGTGGACTATGGGCATGGTGTGCAAAGACTCAATATGCCCCCAAATCTGACTCTACAGAGTTGCAGGTGTTGATATTCTAAAGAAGACATTCTTTTAAAAAATAATTGAGCCCATTCACTGCTTTCAACGTGGGGGAGGGGACTGGAACAAGGCAGCTTAATACATACATAGTGATGGTGACCTTTAGAAAGAAACCAGCAATAAAGAACTGCCTTCTTTCTCACAGTGCATGCCATTATCTGATCTAGAAGCTGCACATAGTTTTACATTTTAAACCTACACAAGAGCAGCATATTTTTGTTGCTTTCTTTCTTTGGTTGCAAACAACCACATGTGCCACATGGAAGTGAAAAATAAATAAAAAGACACTCTTGCTTAAAAAAATGTAGACATGAAGTTGGGCTTCAGACCACCGTGATTGTTTGTTTAAACCTCGGCAGTCCATTGTCCCTTGTCTCTTACAAACATACAACTGTCAGAAGTTGCTCAAAGGCATGTAAATCACTGGGCTGTGGAAACCCAGGCACTCTTCTGCAAGCTTTAATGGCTCGGTTTATTTAAGTGGGCCCCGTAGTAACCCTGATATTAGAAAGGCGCAGGATTTACGGTTTGGGGCACAATTAAAATAAATAGCATTAGGGTGATTAGAATAAAGCTGCAGAGATCAATAGCACCTGCATACTTCTGTTAAAGAACCAGTAGGAAGCACCCATCTTAGGGGTGTGAGATTTGTTTAGCCCTCCCAGGTGTTTGGGTGGGGCAACGTGGGTTTCATGATGAATCATGAGAAGGGAAATAGAAGGAAATGCCAAAGACAGGAAGGGAGTGAAAGGATGCCCTTGAGGTCGAGGTGTGTTTACTTCTTACTTAGCCCCAGTGGCCCTGGGGGATAAGTGTTGGGCTGCTGACCACAAGGTCAGCGGTTCCAAGCCTCCAGCAGCAGCTCCTCAAGAAAAAAGATGAGGCTCTCAGGTCACCGTGAGTTGGAACCAATTTGATAGCAGGTGGTTTGGATTTGGGTTTGTTGTCTGTCCGAAACATACATTTCTATTGGAGAAATATTCTGGCTAAGTGTGAAAGCAACAGACAAGTGGCTGCAGAAAAGTTTTAAATATTAAGGTAAAGGATGCTAGTGATTAACTGGTGTGGCATTTGAGCCACATGCGTGTTTTGAACTCCTGAAAGCCAAGCCATATTCAAACACAAACATTGTCACATGGTGGGTAGGAGCCAACTCTGGGGTCAGAATGCCTTGGGTCAAATCTCAGAGTCATCATTTCCCATCTGGGTAGTCTTTGATAAATTAGTTAACTTTTCTCTCTGCCTCAGTTTTCTCAACTGTAAGTGGAATTAAACATCATATCCAGTGTTATACGTGTATAGTTCTGGGGCTTAAAAGAGCTACTGCATGCTAAGTATCTAGAAGGATGAGTTGAGTCGAATGTTGGATAGTAGTGTCTTAGATAGTCTTTTCTTCACACCTATATCGATAACCATTTCAAATATCGTTTCCTAGCGTTTCCCCAGATGCTGTGGTAGTTAGTTTCCATCAACTCTCTAATAAAAGTTACAGTAATATAAGTTGATAATTAGAGTCACTAATTAAACAACACTGCCATCGAGTCAATTCTGCCTCATAACGACCCCTAGCGGGCAGGGTAGAACTACCTCTGTGGGTTTCCGAGATAGTAACTGCGGGAGCAGAGAGCCCTGTCTTTCCCCCATGGTGGTTTTGAACTGATGACCTTGAGGCTGGCAGCCCATCACATAATCACTATTGCCAGCAGAGCTCGCAGAGTCCACTGATACCACTTCTAAGCTATTTCCCTTCATGAAGTTATAGATGCTCTGATGACCTCTTTATATTAATGTAATTTTTGTTATTAATATGGACAATAAATTATTAAAATGTTGTCTTGTAATTCTGGCTGTGCTGCTCACATGTAAACAAGCATTTAAACAACAACAACAACATTCATTAGAAATAACGCTTGCTAACATGTCAGTTGAGTGAGCCATAGACCTATAAGGCCTTGGTTTACTATACA